TGGCCTCGAACTCACAGAGATCCACCTGCCTCTGCCTCCCGAGTGCTGGGATTAAAGGCGTGCGCCACCACCGCCCGGCCTGATGTGGTTCTTAATGCATGGAATCATAGAACTCAGAGGCTAAGGCAGGAGGGCCTTTAAGTTCCAAGGTGGCATGATTTATTATAGTGGGTTCCAGGTGAGCATGTACGAAAAGTGAAATCCTGTCTTTAAAAAATATAAATAGTAGCCGGGCGATGGTGGTGCAGGCCTTTATCCCAGCACTTGGGAGGCAGAGGCAGGCAGATCTCTGAGTTCCAGGCCAGCCTGATCTGTAGAGTGAGTTCTAGGACAGCCAGGGCTACACAGAGAAACCCTGTCTAAAAAAAAATATAGATAGATAGACAGACAGACAGACAGACAGATAGATAGATAGATAGAATAAAAAATTTTATATAGATAAAATAAGAAAAAGTTAACTTTGTGTTTAGAGCATCCACTTTTGTTACAGTCTCTATTGTCGTTAACAATACTTTGGTTCATAAAAGGTTTAAGCATATAAGCCATAATGATATTTTTCCTAAAGAAAAGTGTTTATCATCCACAAGTTTATCTCTTCAAACATTCATTTGAAAACAGGTTCTTGGGAATTTGAAGCTCATTTTTTTTTGTGCCTGTAGAAAATATTGCCAAATATGGGTAGATTTTTAAGCAGACAAAAAGAAGAAAATAGAGGTCCACAATTATGGTACTTTTCTCCATCATTGTTACTGTGAGAAGTTCAAATGAAAACCATTTCCTGTTCTTTTCCAAACTTGTACAATTTAGTGAGTGACCGATGTTAGAACAAAGATAAACTGCTAAGTAAGGTGAACTGGATCACAAGGAGTAAGAACCAAAGCAGTGCCTTGGCATGGTGGTATACATCTGTAATCCCAGAAAATGGGCAGTGAAAGCAGGAGGATTGGGACTTCAAAAAGGTTAGCCTTGACTACCTAGTGATTTGCAATCTAGCCTAAGCTTCATGAGACCTTTTCTCAAAGAAGACTGATTAAGTGCTATGACAAAGAAAGATACCTACTGCTTGGTGATCTGGTTAGTACTGGGTTAAAAGCAGTGTCATGGAAAAGCTCAGCAGCTCCCAAACCTTAGGAAAGCTTGCTCTAAAGCATGGTGCTATTGGGAATCTTTAGGAGCTGTTTGCAGCCAGGCGGTGGTGGCATACGCCTTCAATTCCAGCACTCAGGAGGCAGGGGCAGGGAGATCTCTTTGATTTCCAGGCCATCCTGGTCTACAGAGTGAATTCCAAGACAGCTAGGGCTACACAGAGATACCCTGTCTTGAAAAACCAAGACCAAAACCAACCAAACAAAAAAGGGCTGATCCCCTAATAAGAGTTCTTGGGAATGGTACCTTTAAAGATGATGATGGAACCCTGGTTCCTTCCTCTTCCTGTTGTTGGGCCTGATACATGCTACCCACCTCGCCACAGGTTCAAAAACAACTTGGCCAACTGGTCCCAGACTGAACCTCTAACACTCGGAGCCAAAATAAACCTTTACTCTCTTCATCTCTGATATTTGTTGTGGTGACGGAAAGCTGACTAACTCAGGTGGTATTTCTTATGAACTTAGGTGGAACTTGGCCAGGCAGAGAAGGTGATCGAGGTGGGTCAGACAGTCTGAGCAAAAGCACTGGGATAAAAAGGTATGCAGCATGTTCAGGAAGCCTAGGAAGCTTGCTGTCGTAAGCCTCAAAGAGACATGTGCACATGGTTGGAAACATTAGGAGTACAGTGTAGAGAACCTTGGATGTCCAGGGGATGGGTTTGTACTTCAGTACATGTGGAAAGAGAGCCTGCTGTGCTCAAGGGGTTTGTCTGATCTTACAGCTATAGGAATTTCTTTAAATGAACTTAGTTGATAGCGGAAAAGTAACAAAGCCTCCATACCGTCTAGAAATAGTTAACAGTGGTAGTTTTTTCTAATCTTTTGCTATATCCTTATGAGAGCAAAATTAAAAGACGATCCTGATTATCATTTGTATATTACATTTTTATTGACATAATCTTACTCCCCATTTTATAAAGTAGACAACATTGTATTTTTAAAATATTTGAATCTATTAGTAAAAGACAATTGCCATTTCATTTAGGTAATCCCTTTTTGGACATTTAGATTACTTGTTTTTGTTAGTACAACTTTATGAAGCAGTTAAGATTACTTCCTTTTAGACTCATGTCTTGGAATCAAATTATTGTTTTCACAAATAAATACTTGGTACTCATTTCATAATATATATCAAAATTCCACCATACAAGCTGCCCAAGTTCATTTCTACTGGCCCTGTGGGATAATGTTT